AAGAAGAAGACGAAATGAGGAGGAGAGAAAAGAAGATGAAATGAGGAGGAGGAGGAGAGAAGAAGAAGAAGAGGAGAGGAGGAGGAGGAGGGGGAGGAGGAGGAGGAGGAGGAGGAGGAGGAGTGAAGAAGAAGAAGAAGATGAGAGGAGGAGGAGGTCGGCTGCACGCGAGGAGGAGGTGGAGGTCGGCACCTCGACTATGGGTAGATAAAGGACTACGTGGCAGGTCGACGACGGGCGGCGTGATGGGAGCTCCGCACGAGGAGGAGGAGGAGGTCGGCACCTCGATGATGGGCAGGTTGACGACGTTGTGGCAGCTCGACGACGGACAGCACGCTCCGTGCGAGGAGGAGGAGGAGGTCGGCTCCGCATGGAGGGCACCTTGATGACGACGGGGCAGGGGCAGCTCAATGACAATGGTTCAGGGGCAGGTCGATGGCGACGGGCAGCTCGAAGACGACGGCTGGGCTGCGAACTTCATCGGCGGGAAGGACAATCCCCCGTTCGAATTTGAATGCGGGATCGTAGCCCTAAAAACTTTGAAAGTGGCTGAAAGTCGTTAAAAAAAAAACATTCAAGCACTAGGTGGCTGGGGAGGCCGCCACTGGCCGAAAAAAGCCTCCCCCCCACCGCGCGTGAAATTGCGCTGGGCCCGCCCGGCGCCCAACCGGGTGACCAACCGGCCGGGCCGCCCGGGAGCCCTACCGGACGAAGGCCAGGCTGCCGGGCGGTCCGGATTTTAACACAGTTTTTTTTTAACTTTTTTTTCTTTTTTGACAAACGAATCTCATTCAAATGCCGGAAACCGGGTCCAGCGTCCCTTGCATCATTGGAACACACTCGAACGCCTCTCCCCGTTATGGCTGGGAGATCCTGAGACGGCGGCATTGATTGCTTGAATTTGCTTCCTTGATGGAAGGATGTACCACCTCTGTGCCCCTGCTTTTTCTTTCACCTTTTGGTTTCTTTTTTCTCGTCTTTAAACGTAGTGGAACTCAGCCCCCTTGGCCATTAGCTGCACCAGGTCAACGACCTTATTGATGTTTAACAATTTAACCCCCTGTCACACTTTATTTTGAATGTCTATGTTGAAGTTTGAACTGTTGATCTGTTTATGCCATGGCAGGTTGCATGTGTGTACCATTTTACTTTGCCTGACAAACCTGCTGTTCTTAGCCAAAGGCTACGTTTCACATCTCAACATATCAAAGATGTACTTGGCTTTTTTTGCCCCTTTTGTAATTCTCAATTTCTCGTCGAGAATACACCTTCGCATGTCTCATTTGCACGCTGTGTAACTCACGCCACACCCGGTGCAACCATCCCCCTTCTGCCTGTCCCTGCTCAGGTACTGGTTTTCTTCAACTGGTTCTCTTCATACTTGTGGTACTGAGCTTGTGCCTAAAAAAAATGACAAATTCAGTGAAGAAAACCTTGTCAGAAACAGACAAAAGCCTCCCACAGTCCTTGTACATGTCGGGTGCCTGAGAGGTGCACACATATAACTGTTGGGTGCCTGAGAGGTGCACACATATACCTGTTGATAAACTTGTCAAGACTCGAGAGTCAAGAGTGAAAGAGTTCAAATCCTGTTGGATACTACGAGCCTCCCAGGCTCCAAGACTGGGCCAGATATGGAAAACATAGGGGTTGGTTCTGATTACAAGTGTGTCGTAGAGGAGGTGTTGAGAGGCACAACAACAATCAGAGGGTATACACAGTTTTGTCAGGAGGCACAACAATCAAAGGGTATACAGTACTATAAACATATGTCAATGTCTGTGTGGAGTATGACACGCATAAAAACTCACTGAAGGTGGACTCCACTGGATGTGTGATTGTGCAGGCCAGGACAGCTCTAGAGAACCTCATCAGATGCCACATGGACGAGACGCTGCAGTACATTCGAGCTGAGCAGAAAGACATCTCACGAGAACTCGTGCCTGAGGTACATGCCACAAGATAAGATCTGTGTCGCCTGAGGTACATGCCTGAATGGGCACCCTAAGGAGTACGCAAATAGCATAAGCCAGCAATAAAGCGAGCCGACAAGCAGTCGAATATGTCGGTCATATGAATCTGAGTTACGATTGGTTGGTACATCAGTAGAAATAGTGCCGTTGCTCCATCAAAACGAAATCTTTGTAGCCTTGGAGAGAAAAGCAACTTGGGATTACATCCATCATTGCACCAGGTAGGGCATTAGAGGCCACCAACGGCGGAAGCTAGAACAGTGCAGAGAAGAATCCATCGAATGCATTGCTATTGAACTGATTGTTCTCTTCCTTCCTTTGTTTTTGTTAAAGGTTTCTGGTTGATGGTTTAAATTGGAGAAAGGGAGGAAGAGGGATGTATTTGTGAGCAGGTGAGAAGCAGATCCTGCAAACGGCTGGCCATGGCCACACCCTGCTGACCCCGGCTGGACACGGCAGCTGCAGACAGGTGTGGCTAGTCCCATGTCCCACCTGGCCAGGTGTGGCCAGGTGACGGGAAGTTGACC